TTTGCCATAAATCTGTTATCTCATAGCTACCATTTATCTCATCTTTTAATTTCTTTGAACATGCGGATGCTGAAAAGCATCTAATCCATGCTTCTGCATTGTCTGGATCATCTAAAGTCAAATCGGATCCTACTCGTAGCGCCATTGTTGTGTCGTTAATAAAACACTGTGCTATATTTAAATATATATATTCTTATAAGTAAACCATCTTTATTATACATTTTAATATCGCCATGTATGTATATATATATAAAAACATTGTTCCTATTTGTCCGCATATGACTAAAGTTCACGGCTTCACAATAAATATAAAACAAAAAACTAAATTAAAACATATTAACTAAATGGAAATTATACATAACACAAACAACTTTTTCTAAACATATCAATATTACCATTTTGAACCAGACCATAAACCACATCAGATCACAGAATTCATACCATGAGGCATCAATGATGCGCATTTATAATGTTTGTTTACTTTGCTAATAACATAAAACAAATGGTATCCATGCTCCATGGCAGACACTTTATGCATCACATTTATGCTCTACAGTAACTCTACTATAACCTTTCATTATCAAAATAATTAATTACATGTACTTTCCTTGGCTATGGTTTATTATTTCTGTTTATATTAACTACATATAACTATGATTAATTTTCATTATTTCTCTTCTTAGAGGCACTTTATTTCAACGGACATCAGTCCTTGTGTACTTTTATCTCAATCTGCTACACACTTTTAACTTGTTATGCATCTCTAAAGCGCTCACTGCTCAGTGCAGTTCTAATAAGATGCATTGCATTCAAAACAAAAAGTATTTACAAACATGCAGATTCATACTAATAAAGACATTAAATAACATATAAAACTATAACATTTAGAACACTACAAACACAAAACATATTAACTAACACAACTTACATAACATTGAAACAACACTTAATCATTAAATAAAACTCCCCTTTCATACACTACTTCTCAATACTGGACATCTGTCTAAATATTATAACTTATCTAGCACTCCCTTGCACTTATATAAAATATTTCTTGCACTTATATAAAATATTTCCTTCTATTAAGACTAACTTTAATAGCTTCCACTGCAAAACAATAGCAAAATATATATAAATAAATATATATATATATATATATATATATATATATATATATATATATATATATATATATATATATATATATATATATATGTAATATCATATATAATATTATATATAATATTATATATAATATTATATAAATTATATATATATATATATATATATATATATATATATATATATATATATATATGTATATATATATATATATATATATATATATATATATATATGTATATATATATATATATATATATATATATAATATCATATATAATATTATATAATTTATATATATATATATATATATATATATATATATATATATATATATATATATATACATATATGTAATATCATATATAATATTATATGTAATATCATATATAATATTATATGTAATATCATATATAATATTATATATAATATATATATATATATATATATATATATATATATATATATATATATATATATATATATATATATATATATATATATATATATATATATATATATATATATATAGGTACGCGGAAATAGAGATTTACGGAACCGAATTTTGTGCGAAAATTCTGTGACTCGTTTTTTTGACTTTTTTTTTGGTAGTGTAAGGCAAACGTATTTTTGAGGAGTTTCTTTTTAGAAACATATATACACATAGTATATTTTTGGAAAGAAGAAGAGTTAAACTTGTTTTTTATAAGACATTTATGTATGGTTACTGAATTTTTTTATGGATTATTTTGCTCCTGAAAAATAGGTTGATGTTCTCACATGAATTTGTAATCGAAGAAATGTTGAGCCCCCTTTTTTTATTATTAAAAATGTTTTCTACATGCATTTTCTATGCACATGCCATATTTCATCGAAAAAGAAATAGGAGCAAATAGTTTAATTAGTGTTATTTTAAGTATAACACTTTTTTTAGGTAGACTTAGGCAAACTTATTTTTCTAGTAATTCTTTTTAGAAACATATATAATTGTAAGCTGTTATTTAAAAGTAGAAAGGTTAAGCTTGATTTTTATATGTTTGTTAAGCATGGTTGCAATACTTTTTAATGGACTATTTTGCTGTCAAAGTTGCATGAAAATTTGGTTGATGTTCTCACATTAATTTTTAGTCGAAGAAATGTTGAGCCCCCTTTTTTTATTATTAAAAATGTTTTCTACGTGCATTTCCTATGCACATGCCAAATTTTAACAAAAAATAAATAGAAGCAAATTGTTTAATTAGTGTAGCACTTTTGGTACCTAATTTCTGTTATTCTGTTGTTGTTTTTTTCGGCAAGCGAAGTACGGGGGCGGGTCGGGGGGCGAAGTATATAAACAAAAATTATTACATTAATGTATTAATTTGATTTTTATTATTAGATTTATAATAACATGGAAAATTTAAATAAAACATTTTTGGATTCTCTAACAGGTAAGTTTAATCTTTTTTTTCAAAATACTTTTATTAACAACTATTTCTACAACAAAAACAATATTGATAAATGTAAAACCTTAATCTTTTTTTAAATGATAATAACATAAAGATTAATGTTTAAGATTAAAAATTTTTCTTTTGAATTGATTGTTAACTAATATTATCAGTTGACAATTTTATTGAAACCCCAAATATAAGCATGCCTTATATTTACTTCTTGTTTAGATCCTTGCACATTATTTGTGGATTTTTTACGATTTCGTAAGTATATATCACATAATTTTTGGGTTTATTCTTAAAAAAAATCATGTTCATCATTAATTACAAAGATAAAGTACTTTACAGTAAGTAGATGTTAATAGACTATTTAAAGTATATTAAAGTACTTTAAAAACCTTAAGTTCATGTTTTTTACTTTTTGTGTACTATTTATCTTTGTTTAATGTTTACATAGTTATATAAACATTCCTAGTGTTAGCTTGTTTTTTAAAAGTATTTCAAAGTGTTTTGTGTAATTGCACAATTTTTTTGTTATCTTTAGTCCAATCTACACAGCCTACCACTGGTAAGTTTGTATAGCATAACCTTTGGTAATGATAATAGATTTAATACTAATTTCAAATTGCAATATTTATTTTTTATTACAAATTTTTTACTTTAGCTGCATCTTCATCTGGAACAAGTGGTAAGTTTAACAATTATTACTTTTTAATATGTATTATTATATTATATATATATATGTATATGTATAATTGCAAATTAATTTTTTATCAAAACTTTTAAACCTTAGTTCCATATGCAGCTGCATTGAGTGGTAAGTTAAAAAATGTTTTTATTATATACTACAAAAAACTTGTTCATATATGTATTTCACATCAACTGCAATATTTATTTTTTATTACTCCTTTTTTAACCTTAGTTCCATCTACATCGGCTGCAACTGGTATGATGACAAACTATTTTTTTTAATATGTTTATGCATTTTTCAAAAATTGTAATATTTATTTCTTATTAAAACTTTGTTAACCTTTAGTTGTATCTGCAGCTGCTACAAGCAGTAAGTTTAAAACCTATTATTTTCTAATATGTGTATGCGTAATGCGTTTGTAAAACTATTATTTTAAATATGTGTATGTCTTTCTTATCAAATGCAAGTAAAATTAAATTTTTATTACAACTTTTTTTTTTACCTTTAGTTCCACCTTTACAACCTTCTTCACAACCTTCACAACCTTCTGCTGGTAAATTTCTGATTTAGAAATGTTTCCGAATGATTATTGAGTTCATAATATTTCTATTTATATACACTTTTTAATACATTTGTATTATGTTATCCGTAAAAGTGCCATAGAAGGAGAATCAATAGCAGTATTTAATTTTTTACTGGCTTTACCATTTTTTAAATAAACATTGATTTATTAGTTGTTTATTTTTTCATTTCTAATATGTGTCTTTCTTATCAATTGCAAAAAAAATTAAATTTTAATACAACTTTTTTTACCTTTAGTTCCACAACCTTTACAAGTTGAACCTTCTGCTGGTAAATTTATGGTTTAGAAATGTTTCTGAATGATTATTGAATTCATAATATTTCTATTTATACACTATTTAATTTATTGGTATTATGTTATCCCTAAAAGTGACGTAGAAGGAGAATCAATAGCAGTATTTCATTTACACTTGTATTAACTGAATTAGCAGTATTTCATTTTCACTTGTATTAACTGAATTAGCAGTATAGCATTTTCACTCATATTAACTAACATTTGTGAAGCTATCGTTGTTTTATAAATTGTTTATTTTATTTATTCAGCCAATCACTTTTACAAGTAATTGGTTTATAAAAATTTTATATAACGCCTTCAGTACTAATCTTTGTAACTTTCATTTAAAGCTTACATATCAAGTCTATCGAAGATATAGGTCCCAGCATCCTGGACCCACCAGCAACCGTTCCTTTTTGCGGTGGGTTGAATTAGGAGGGCAGGATGATGAGTTGTTTAGATGGCCCTATCATCCTCCTAACAGGAATGCTGGGAGCAAAAGCAGAAGGGGCAACGGTAGAGGTCGTGGCAGCAGAGGAGGACGAAGACAAAGGCGGAATGGTGGTGGTACGGTGGTGAATGGTGGCATTCACCACAATTATTAAAAAAAAGTATTTTGCCTAGGCGCCACCATTCCTTTGTATATACAAAATATATATTATCAGCAAGTTTGTTTTTCCTTTTGTCCCAATTTTTACAATTACTAACATGTTTATTTTTTATTTTTAAATTTTTTACCTAAAATAATTTAAAAATGATTTGTTATGCTAAAAATGAAATTAAAATTTGTGTTATAAAAAGTAGTAAAGTTGCAACTACAGATTGTTATAGACTATTAAATACAATTAGAATATTTGGAGGAATTTAAAGCCCATATTAAATGAAATGCTAGATTTATGTAATATTGTAAATGTTGATAAATGTGAAGTGTCATTTAAATACTTATTTATTATTCTTATTTTATTTAAACTGTTTGTTTGACTTTAGTAACAGTTTTTGATCTTAAACTAAAATAACTTATGTTTACAGTTCCTAAAAATTATATTACCAATATTGAGGTTGAAATACTGGTTTTATTTAACCATCGCTTTTTTGTCGAAGGTATGCATGACATTTTTTTAAGTCTATTTTATTTTCGAAATATTTTTACATGTTGTGTTATGTTATCAATTCTTAACAGATTATGCTATATATTGTTTGTTTACTTTTCACAAAATTTAAATTAAAATGTATTAACTCTTTATATATACTTTTTAAAGGAACTATGGGTCCAAAAAATAGTGGCTGTGTGTTTCAGGATGCAGTGAAACACTATTTGGCTGAAAACTTCACTTTGCATGGCGAAATACATACACACTGTAAAAATGGACATGTCATCTACTTATTCACTAATAATGGTGAGTCAATTGGTAATACTCTTAAACTAGTCAATGACTTATTTAACTTAAAAACTAGTAAGCATAAACTCTATAATGTTATTAATATTTCAAAAAAATGGACTACCAATTATGTAAGAGATTGTTCAAAATTTATTGAATTTTGTAATCAGCCCTTTGCATACCATGCACCAAGCGTGTCATTGAAACAGGCAATGCATCTTAATAAGAGTCATTCATTGGTTACAGTTTCAGAGACTTCTGTTCTTTTGCCCCAAGAACATATTGCTATTTTACCCCTAGTTAATGACGAACCAATCTTGCCTGTAAAATCTATAAAAAATGAAACAGGAAAGCATGCATCTAGAGAAGAACTAACCCCAAAGAAAGCCAAACTTATTACTAGGTTATCATTTTTATCTTCTCAGTTAGCTAGCTCAACCAGAGACCACAGACAAAAAATAGCAAAACTTAAATCAAAATATAATAGCATGCCATATAAGTTAAAAGTATTCAGGCAAAACATCAAAAGGAAAGAAGACATTATTAAAGCTTTGAGGGCGGAAGTTAGAGAACTAAAAAAAGAAATTAAAACATATTATTACAAGAGCTTAATTCACAAACTTAAAGCGAAAACAAAGGCATTAAAAGTAAAAGAAAAACAAAACTTAATGCAAATAAAAGTAAAAAATAATACTAATATTAGCGCAAATAAAATGTTTATTGCTCAATTAGAAAATGATATAAGTCAGATAAAAGAGGGGAAAATTCCAAATGTGAATATGTCAGATGGTGATAAGACTTACCCTTTACAAATGAGGATGATAATCTATGGCATGTTATTAGCTAATGTTCCAACTGGTAACATAGGATTCCTAATTTCAAAAATTGGGCAATATTTGGGTGTTAACTTTACAGATATTCCTCATCGTTGTACTATTGAGCAAATGGCTCGTGAGCTTGGCAGTATAGCAGAATTGCAAGCAGCAGAATGGGCTATGAGTAATTCTCATCTTACTCTTGGATTTGATGCAACAACTCAAGAAGGTGTTCATATTAACACTGTTCATCTTACATCTAAAAACAACTGTCAGGTCATTGCTCTGGACCAGTTACCAGGTGGAACAGCTGTTGATTATGAAAGCCATATATGTGGTGCAATTGATCATTTAGCTTTTATATATTCAGATTTTCACTTGCTTCCCTTTAATGAATGTCGTAGTTCAATCATATCAAATATATCCAACACAATGTCTGACAGAGTATCAGTTAACCATCTTACTATTTCCAAAATTTGTAATACCTGGGGAAAGAATTTGAATGAGTTAAACTGTCATTTGCACCCTCTAGACACAATTGCCATTTCATGTTGCGAAGTCTTAAAATCTCTAGAAATTGAACGTTGTGAATTGTTTGGGTATGATTGTATGGCAGTCAAAATTGTGTTAGCAATGAACAAGATGAGATTTAAAGATGGCAAAGGTGATCCACAAGGTTTTGTAAATTTTTTAGACAATAACAAACTCCCTCGAGGTATTATTCCACGGTATCGTGGAAACCGTTTGCACATTCTTTTCCATACTTGTTTCATTTTTATGAAACACTATACTAATTTTCTACATTATCTTACCACTGGAACTGTAAAATGTTTCAGTTTACAACCAATTCTGCGAGAAGCCTTTTGTAACGCAACTGCTATAAAACAAATGGGAGTGCTTGCGCTGTTTAGTAAACTTCTCAGTGGGCCATGGATGACTAAGTTTTATGTATCTGCAAATAATGCAAGTTTTGATCATGTCACTGGTATCCAGGTAGTAAAAAATGTTTTGAAAGAAATTACTAATTGCAAATCTAATTCAGCTGCACTATTTTGCAGCAAGATGGATTTTTTCGGAACCATGCTTGAACCAAGTATTTTAAAATCTATTACAAATTTATGCCCTATCGTTGACCAACTTGTTGAAATGACTTCTGCTTGTCTTAATGCAGTTGAAGAAGTCTTGACTCGTCAATATAAGAGATATTTCTCCCTTTCCATTACAGAGGCACTCAAGACGGAGACAGCTAGTGCAAGGCTTCACAATATAGATAGCGAAGAGTTAATTGGTATGTTAAGTGATGCCAAAGGACGATGTCCTAATGCAACAATTTGTTATATATCTAGCAAATTAAGATCCAAAAAGAATAGGACTATAGATTATCTCGATAATCTTGACGTTGTTTCCAGAGAAAAGGTAGTTAAGTGGTCTATTTACATGGCACGTAAAAAAAGAATGAGAACTCGACTACTACATAATGAAATTCGAGTAGAGATTACTGGTAGACAGGTGTTTAAACGCCAAAAAATGGACGAAAAACAAAAAAAAAAAGTTAGAGCGTGAGCTATGTAAATTAACTACCAGCGAAATTATGAATTTATATAAAAACTTATCTGTCAAGCAACTTGATGATTTAGATGATGTTATGTGTGAAAGAATAGTTGGAAGAAAACTCTGTCATGAATGGTATGTTGCCACCTATTCAAAGACAGTTATTTATGATGGGAGAGTAGAAAAAGTAAATAAGATCTTATTAACTATATTATATATATTATATATATTATATATAAATTATATATATTATATATTATATATTATATATACTATATTATATATATTATATATAAACTCTATCCTGTTGCCTCTTAAGAGGCAACAGGATAGAGTTTACACTATTTCTTACTGGAAACAAGATGAAACTGATATCGAAGCTGTTGAATATAAGATGAAAAAAATACAGCTTGCTGCTGATGTTATAACAGGAGAACTAATATTTTCTTAATTTGAATATGAAAATAATATACATGCATTACAAAAAGAGTACCGCAAGTTTTGTAGCTTGCAAATATGGTACAGCAAGTTTTTTTCTTGCAAAAAGAGTACCGCAAGTTTTGTAGCTTGCAAATATGGTACAGCAAGTTTTTTTCTTGCAAAAAGAGTACCGCAAGTTTTGTAGCTTGCAAATATGGTACAGCAAGTTTTTTTCTTGCAAAAAGAGTACCGCAAGTTTTGTAGCTTGCAAATATGGTACAGCAAGTTTTTTTCTTGCAAAAAGAGTACCGCAAGTTTTGTAGCTTGCAAATATGGTACAGCAAGTTTTTTTCTTGCAAAAAGAGTACCGCAAGTTTTGTAGCTTGCAAATATGGTACAGCAAGTTTTTTTCTTGCAAAAAGAGTACCGCAAGTTTTTTAGCTTGCAAATATGGTACAGCAAGTTTTTTTCTTGCATAAAGAGTACCGCAAGTTTTTAGCTTGCAAATATGGTACAGCAAGTTTTTTTCTTGCAAAAAGAGTACCGCAAGTTTTGTAGCTTGCAAATATGGTACAGCAAGTTTTTTTCTTGCAAAAAGAGTACTGCAAGTTTTTTAGCTTGCGAATTTTTTTGATAGACAGCTCTGGCTTACCTTCACGTGGTGTCTATTGTTGAAAATGATTCAATTTTTTTCATAAATGGAATTTTAAAATTAAATCATTCACTAAAAGCCAAGACAAAAAATCATTAAATTTTATATTTCAAAAGACTTGTTGTTTTTCTGTTGTTTTTTTTAGGTTGGAGTGGGTAATTAGTCCTTTTGCATGACAAAATTGATACTCAAACACATCTTGTAGTTTGGTAAAATAGTTTTTTATACTAATTTCTCTGTTTAAAGGCAGTTCAACATTTTTTGTGAAATTCTCATTTGAAAAAAAATTTAAGGGGCTGACGGGGGAGGGAAAGTCTCATACGCCCTCTTCCATAAAAGCAATTTATACACCACTAGTTACTATTTTTTAAAGTGTTGAAATATATTTTTTATTTTTTATAATAGATTTAATCGTTTTAGAAAAAATTGGTAATATTTAAAAGAATGAAATTTTGAAGGTGTGTGTTAAACCTTCACCACAACCCAACACCCAACTTTAAGATAGACAAAATGGATACTCAGACGCATCTTGTAATGCGGCAAAATAGTTTTTTATACTTACTAATTTCTCTCTGTTTAAAAAAGCATTTAACAATTTATGTGAAATTTTCATGAAAAAATTTTTTTTTTAGGGGCGGAAGGGGGGGCGGCATACGCCCTCTTCCATAAAGCAATTTATACACTACTAGTTACTATTTTTTAAAGTGTTGAAATATATTTTTTATTTTTATAATAGATTTAATCATTTTAGTAAAGATTGTAGTATTTAAAAGAATGAAATTTTGATAGGGTGTGTTAAACCTTCACCACAACCCAACACCCAACTTTGAGATAGACCTGTAATATTTGCAAGTGATGTGGAATAAACTAAAAACAGTTTGTTGTATGTAAATATTATGAAATTCTTAAAAAAAAAAACACTATTATGAAAAAATAGTGTATTTTTGTGAGGTGTAGGTGGTGGATTAGCACCCCCTCCGGATCCCTCGATGCGCCTTTTACCTATAAACTAGTTTCAAATTATAGCCCATTTTTACATCTATCTTTTGAAACCAAGTTATAGATAAGTGAATAAGAATTGGCAAAGTTATAATAATTTATATGAAAAAAAAAATTTTTTTGACCACAGTTTTATCAAGAAATCCATATATCGAAAATTTGCTACTAAAAACGCTATAACTTTTTATAGAATAGTCTGATTTTCATAATTTTTTCATCTTTAAAATACTGTATTGGAGGGCTTTCTAATGATATATAACATTCTAGCATTTGATCAATTTAAAAAAATCAGTCCACGTACCTATATATATATATATATATATAATATCATATATAATATTATATAATTTATATATATATATATATATATATATATATATATATATATATATATATATATATATATATATATATATATATATATATATATATATATTTATACATATATATGTTTTAATCTTTATATATCTCTACTAATATAATGACTTGGTGATTTGATAATTCGATCCCTATTAAAAACATTCACCAAACTAATTGCTATAGTACCATAATAACAATAGTAATAATAATTACCAGAGTACCATATTAACATAAATACCATAAGTAAATACCAAATAAACAACCAAACATTTTTACAACAACTCGATTTAGAGAATTCAATTGCACAACATATTTCTTTTAATAATTGTATAACTTTATTATTCTACTTCAATTCGTCAAAGTTTGTATAATAATAATTCCATAAGCGAAGCTTCTTTATTAACAAATTCAGCGTGGATGATCCAGAATAAAGTTATAATTTGAACGCATGCGTAATAGCCACTAAATCCGTTCTAGGTCTGCGTTTTTTTGCAAATTCAAAACCTTATTTTGGATCATCCTAAAGAACGCTAACCAATATTTCGCTCTTTAAGTTACTTAAATGTTTAGAATGCGTAGCGTTCTCTACTACAGGCCATAGATATATAAATTACTGGATAAAACATAGGCAGAAATAATTGAAGCCGGGAAAACTTTGCCTTGATGACGTAGAGTGAGGCAGAAAATACAGTTTAATCAGCGAATATCATGAACAATGTTTATAATTTAATATCAGGTTATATTTTGTATTGTTTAGTTCATAAAACAATTACTTCGAAGGAATTGAAATTCATTTATAGTTTATATATATTTTATCTACAGATGAACTTAATAAAATAAATCTTAGCTGACTCAAATTTATAAGATTTTAAAAGCTTATCAAATACTGCAATGTAAATTATAATTTGATTAAAATAGTATACCACGAATTACCTAATGAACTTGTATAATGTTGTATAATGCAAGATTTATATGGAGCTTTGAGACTAAAATTGAATATAAAATTATACATCTATATTTATGTATAATATATTTATCTATAATATACATATATATTTATGTACAATAAGATTTTGTACTTGTTTTAAAATGGCTAATTCGTGCAGTGCTTTTGGGTGAACAGCTAGATCTGCTAAAGGGATCTCCAGAAGTTTTCATAGGTAAGAATTTAGTATCTATATAATAAAAACATTTTGTTTTTGAAGAATCAATAGAAATTTTTATGTTGATTTTAAAAACACTGTATGTATAATGAATTCTCGCTATGCATTTTTAAATAGATTTCCTGTTGATCCAGATAAAAAAGCAACATAGGTTCTTGCAACAAAGTGAAAGAATTTTGTCCCCACTTCTGCTGGTTTTATTTGTTCTGATCATTTTTCTAAAAATTGCTTTGATGAAAGCAAAACATCAGGTTACTGTTTGAGAAAATATCTGAAACCTGATGCAATATCAACAATTTTTGATTTTCCAAAACATTTAAAACCAACCAATAGTTAAATTTGAAAAGCACCAACAGAAAGAATGCTGAAAAAACAGAGAGAGAAAGAAAAAAATGACACAGTTTTTGAGAATACTTATGAAGAAAAGGTGATTAGTACAAAAAAAAAAAAAGTGTAGAAGTTTGCATGGAAACTGATTTAGACAACTTGCAAACTGTCAACAAGAAGTTGTCTTTTATTTTATATGCATATAAATTACAGAAAAAATGTATCAAATTTGTAATGCAACAAAAGCGCAGACTCAAAAAAAAAGTTGGAAAACTTAAAAATGTGATCAATGAGTTACAAGAAAAACGTTTAATTAGTGATGAAGCCACAGCAACTTTAAATAGTCTTAATTCTGGAGTTAATGATTTAATTAAAAAACTGAAATTTAAAAGCAAATTAAAATACTCTCCATCATTGCAAACTTTTGCCTTAACATTACATTTTTATTCAGCAAAAGCGTATGATTATGTCAGACAGTCCTTCAACACTTGCCTTCCTCACCCAAATACGTTGAGAAAATGGAATAGTAGTATTAATGGACAGCCAGGCTTTACTCATGAAACATTCCAAATTTTAAAACTGAAAAATAATAAATCTAACAAAAAAATTGTATGCAGTGTATGTAATGAACGAAATGTCAGTTCGAAAGCAAATTGATTGGGATGGACATAAATCTTATGTTTTTGTTAATTATGGAACAGGTTTTAACGATGACAGTGTTGGTGTTGCTAAAGAAGCTTTTGTTTTGTTATTAGTTGCTGTTAATGGACATTGGAAGATCCCAATAGCATATTTTTTAATAGATGGACTTAATTCAAAAGAAAAAGCAAACATTATTTCTGAAATTCAGAAATAATTTGATGAGGCATTCAGACTGAATGCCTCATCAAAGTTCATGAAACTGGAGTTCAAGTTATTTCTTTAACTTTTGATGGTACAGCTGCAAATTTATCTATGATAAAAATTCTTGGTGCTGACTTTAATGATATTAGAAATCTGAAAACATTCTTTCAACATCCAGTAAGTGCAGAACCAGTATTTTTAATTTTTGATGCTTGCCATATGTTAAAATTAGTTAGAAATTGCTTTGGTGAAAAGAAATTGCTAAAAGACAGTAATTATGGTATTAATAATTATGCTTTTATTGAACAATTGTATGAGCTTCAATTAAAAGAAGGAATTCATGCTGCTGATAAACTGAAAAAACACCATATTAAATGGAAACAACAAAAAATGAAAGTGAAATTGGCAGCACAACCCTTAAGTCAAAGTGTTGCAGATGCTCTTGATTTTTGTGCAAACAAGTTAAAATAAAAGAGTTTCAAGATTGCGGACCAACTATCAATTTTATTCAGATTATAGACTATAGGGTTGCCAGAAGCGTGGTCGCCCAATGGAGGACATAAAAAAGCCAAAAGGAGGACAAAAAAAGACATGCTTCATTTTAGTAATATCTAATAACGGAAGGTTTTTAAGATTTTTTGGCGCTAATAGCTTTATTTTATAAGGTAAGGGGGGGGGTAGGGGGCAAGACTCTGATCTTCTAGCCACGGTACTGACACCGAATGAAAATAAACAACAAAGTATATTATATAAGAACAATATATGTTATAGTACACAAAAATAATGGGTAAATTGTAGGTATTATAAACTATTACTTAATAATAATAAGGGGCTGTCCATAAACGACGTCACGCATCAAAGGGGAGGGAAAGAGTCCATACTATTGTGACGATCTGTGACAATGGGGAGGGAGAAATATGACGTCACAAAAAAAATTTAATTTAATAAAATATTTTTATAATAATAATAATAGTAATAATAATAATAATAATAGTAATAATAATAATATATATATATATATATATATATATATATATATATATATATACATATATATATATATATATATATATATATATATATATATATATATATATATATATATATATATATATATATATATATATATATATATATATGTATATATATATATATATATATATATATATATATATATATATATGTATATATATATATATATATATATATATGTATATATATGTATATATATATGTATATATATATATATGTATATATATATATATATATATATACATATATATATAATTTACTTTTTAAAGGAAATTCTGAACTAATAGAATTTGAAATAATGCAATGAGTTCTTTTGTTAGACTTAACGCACTTAGGCGTTAAGTAGTGATAATTAACATTAAAAAAATTCACATTTTACCACTAAACAAAAAGCATAACAAATTTAATATAAAAGGTTATTTACAAGTAGCTATTTAAACGTAAGTATTCAAAATTTCTCGGCTACATTTAAAAAATATTTTCGCAAATAATTTTTAGGCGCATTTAATTTGTAAACTCCAAAAAATTCTTTTCATAGAATTAACTTCCGCAATGTGGATAAAAATAAAATATATCAGCTTCTTTTTGACGCCTACGTTTCAGCATATCCTACAAAGAGCAGAAAGGCCTGTCAAGAAGAACTGTTTCAGAAGTGGAATGAAATAAAAGTTGATAAAAATTTTCAAATCAAAGCGGATCATTGGTTGCAAGAACTAAACGCTCTTTCCACAGGCAAAAAAGGAACACTCCTAACATTTTGGGCTATTCAAACGTTATCTACCAAAAAATTCTCAACCATAATTGTGCATAAAAGTCTTCCGACTTCAAATTTGCAGTTTGATAAAAATGGTACCAGTATTGTTTCTGATGAATTAGAACCTGGACCTAGTACTGCCCGCGCAGAAACATCAAGAATTGCCCCAGCCCAACTGCAATTGCAGACGCAGATTGAAGTTCTAAATTCTGGTTTAGTTGGTTTGTACGAGCGACAAAAACGTGGAATGTTTTCACTTGAACAAGCTGCTGAATTG